GTGTCTTTCCAGTGAGCACTCAGGGTTGATTTCCTTCAGAATTGGTAGACTTGTTCTCTTTGCAGTCCAGGGGAAGTACAATATTATAAATATTTGGGTCTGATAATCCAAGCAAATGGTAAGAGAAATGTGTACTGTATATAAAACATACAGTAGGAAATGCCGAAAAATGCATGGGAACTATATAAAAAAGTTTCTGGTCATGGGGGGGGGAAGAAATATGACACCTTGTATTCGACTTTATACAATGAAATTGTTAGTACACATGATCTATGGAGCCTGATATAGTATACCAGCTAACCTGACCACTTTGGAAAGATAGCAATCAAAAATTTTAAGAGTTATATTGCAGCTTCCTACAAGTGCATCAAAGGCAGCCATAAGGCTGGAATTTGGGCTCGTAACTGTTGAGGCCAGGCTATGGATATATATGCTGCTATAACATATTGGCTAAAACTGGATTACAATACCTCGGGGCAGGTCCATCTAACATTGCAAGATTGTTTTGTCCCGTCCCCCCGGCGGAAGACGCTGGAACATAAGCTAGGGTATTATGGATTTTCACAACATTACCTATTGTCAATGAATATGATCCAGCCAAAAAAATTGATTAAGCAAAGGATTTTAGATATAGAAAGACATAATGATATAAACAAGGCCAAAGGATTTATTAAAATAAACCTCTTGAATATATTGTTACCTATGCCATACTTAAACGATTTAAAATATCCTGAAACCAAAAGGGCCTTTATGCTATTGTGCATGGACTTGTTGCCATCTGTAGTGCTGCTCAGAAGATACAACAATCCCCCTTACAAGAGTCGATTGTGTGTATATGCTGAGGGGACTATAGAGACACTGAGTCATGTCATCTTAGAGTGTACAATTTATGAGCAGATTCAGGAATGACTCATTAAACCCAGTATTCCTTCCTTAGATGGCAGATATAGAAAGGAGTGTCTACAGAAGCTTTTGGAAGATAAGAATAAATTTAATTATTTCTTTATTAGATTTCTATACCACCCATCTAGAACGTGTTTACTCTGGGCGGTTTACATATACTATAAATATAAACTAAGATAAAACCCGGATTAATACATGATGGGAAAGGAAAAAAGAAAGAGGGGCCCGGATTAATCCATGATAGGAAAGGAAAAAAGAAGGAGGGGGAAAGAAGAGAAAAGAAAAACAAGAAAAGGGGAGATGGGCTAGGTAATGGCTGTAGGGAAGGCCTGCCTGTATAGCCATGTCTTCAAGTTAGCCAGGTGGATCTCAACAGGTAAGTTGTTCCAAAGGCGAGGGGCTACTGCCGAGAAGGCCCGAATTCTGTTTTTTTTCCCCACTGGGCCTCTCTTGGCATTACGCCCCTCAGCCACCTGGCCTGACTGGAGTGGGTAATTTGGGTAGAACTGGGCAGAAGAAGGCACTCTGCCAGGTATCAAGGCCCTGAACCATTAAAGGCTTTATATGTAATGTGGAAATCAATGCGGAAGTGAATAGGTAGGCAGTGTAAGGCAGCTAATGTGGGGAAAATATGGTGAAATCTTTTCACCCCTGTTAATAGCCTGGCCACCATGTTCTGGACCATCTAAAGCTTCCTCATCACTCTCAAAGGAAGCCCCTTGTACAGAGCATTACAGTAGTCTATTCTTGAGACTACAAGCACATGGACCAGCATGGTGAGTGTCCCCGTGTCTAGATAGGGACATCGGTTTCATCCAAGAGAACCTGTAGTTGGTTGGCCACCACCCTATGAACTACCTTGCTGAGAAACGAAACATTGGCGACAGGCCTATAATTGCCCATCGTCTACCGTCAAGTTCGGTTTCTTCCTAATGGGCCTAATAGCATTTCCTTGAGAGCAAGAGGAACCTTGCCCTTAAGGAAAGAGGTAACAAACAGAGTGGCCAAATTTGGATGGCTGGCCATAAAACTAAGGGATAACTGGCTAAATAATAAGGATAAAATAGGAAGAACTAGATATATGGTATAGAATATAAAGCTGATTAAATTCTGTATAGTTTATCAGATGTACAACTTTAATATTGTTATATTATTTTATTGTGCATTTTAATGTATACGTACTGTATATGTTTAATGGCCAGTGGTTATAATAAACTTTTACATCATGGGAATACCTCATACCTCATCTGAAGACCCACGTGAAATGACTTGGTTTTTAATACTGAAATTATATTTTAATATATTTGTGTTTTATATTTTGCTTTTAACCCAGCATTTTGAAGAAAGTATGTATTTGTACTTTTTAATCTGCTAGCATTGGGTCTGTTCAGCTGGCACCATGCTTGTGTATATATTATTTTTGCACTTATTGGTGGAAGTTGAAAGACCAAAGTGGCCAAAACAATAAAAGACTGTAGGGAAGGACCTGCTTCTGCTGAAACCTATAATGCTGGTATTAAAAATCTGAAACAGAGCATTACAGCACAGTGTACAACACCTCTCCTTCCTCATTTTTGCTTTTATATTCTTTGCATTATTATGAATCGGTGCCTGGAATCCTGTTGAACAAGTTGTGCTGTACAACTCTGATGATGTCATCAACCCTGGCCATTTCAGAGGAATGAAAGCCTTTGTATTCCACCCCTCCATGGCCAAGGTTCCAGGATCCCCAGGGATCACCTTTGTTTTGGAGAAGCCTTTGGAAGCTACAGAGTGGGGGGAAATCACTTTGCTGTTCCAGGTCCCACTACAGCCACTGAAACTGGTAGCAGTGATTTTGGAGCATTTAAGCATTCCCTTTCATATTCTGCTTGCAGAAGGACATTAAAATATGGGGTGACCCTGGCCTCCTGGCTACATAGTTGTGTGGCATAACTTGCACAAGAGATTTCTGGACACTATGTCTCAATAGCTAGAATCGATACGTAAAATTCTGAAAGGGTTTTGAAAGCATTACAACAGCTAATATATATTGCGTAATATCCAGCTGGGTAGACACATTTTCCAGAAATCAATAACTGAAAGAAGAACATGTTGATAACATTCAACAGAGTCAAGAGGGACCAGTTACTGGAAAGAATAAAATATTATGCTTGCAGCTAGGTTTCTGGTTCTGAAGAAATGGTCTAAAATCAAAGCCAATCTCCACAGTAGTGCTGAAATTTTCCCTACTGAACCCTGTATACCAAAAACCTGTTCTCTAGAGTTTCCCAGCTTGCTGGAGCAAGTTTAATGGTTGGTAACATAGGATAAGGGAGTGGATATTGCAATCCTCCAGCTTGAACTTAGAGAAGCTGTTTCTGGGGGCACAATGGCAGGGTGAGATACTTGCTGGTGATTTCATGTCTGCTGAGTGCCATAAAGGGTGGATGAATAAGGGCAACTGTAGTGAAGTAAAAGCAA